TCCAGGAAGACTATGTCCACTGCTACCCCTGCATCTAATGATCTGGTGATCTGATCGTAAAAGGCCACCAGGTTGGTCTGACAGGACCTGCCACTGATGAACCCGTGTTGGTTGCCCCTAAGCATGCAGTCCCCTGCTGGCCCCTCCTGGATGTGTGCCAGAATAATTTTCTTGAACAGCTTGCCTAGGATCGAGGTAAGACTTACTGGCCTATAGTTTCCCGGGTCCTCTTTCCTCCCTTTTTTGAAGATGGGAACTACGTTGGCCCTCTTCCAGTCCTCTGGTACCTCTCCAGAGCACCAGGAGTGGTAATTAATTTACTGTGGCCTAATAGGGTCACATGTACAGAAGCAGAGACTTTTACTATGGAACGAATATGCCAGCTCTGCAGTAAACATCTCATGTAGACATGCCAACTATGGAGTAAACTGGCCACTACAGAGCTTCACCACTAATTGGCAAGGAAGCCATTTTGCATGGCTACTGAGGATGAAGCCGATCACAGGAACAGACACAGGACATATTCCACTTTCCCATGCAGTCCCACTTCTAACTTGACTCACCACTTTAGTGATCGACGAGATAGTAGGGCTGTGTGTCACATGTCTGCTCCATAGGACAGATAATTTACTAGGTAGTAAATGTCTTGTGTCTCTATCCACATCCAGTTTCCCCCAAAAAACTGCACCCAAAACCCCCCAAAGTATTTTTCCAAGTCCTAACTACCTATATATACAGTTGAGAATAGTTTTAGTAGTGCCATCTAGTGATTTCCACTAACATTATTTCAGCTCCCAATGGTAACACACTTCTACATTGCTTTTGCTCTCCCTCTTGATACACTTTCTCCTTAGTTTGCCAGAATTATCTTGTTATTAATGTGAATACTTTACTCCTATTCCCACTCTGCATAATTCCTCTACAACCTTGTTTTACATCCTGTAGATCCTTCAGACCAATGTTTCTAATTAGTCTCCTCCTCTTTTTTTTCCAGTGTTTCTGAGACTTTTCTTATTTCCTAAACTAAAGATATATTCTGAGTCCACAGAAGCAGTGTGCTTTGATCTGAGGTGTTGAGCATCATAAATATGATCCATAGTGCACAAGCACCTTATGAATCCCATGTGCTTATACAGGTAGCTGATGACAAGCACTTTGGCACATTCAAGCTGTGTTCAGGAAAGAGGAATGAGGAACAGGGAAGGGAGGAGAATATAGTTGGGGGGGAAAACCCACTGTCATCAATGAGCCAGTGTCACATTTTTCATTTTGCAATAGGTACAACCATATCAATGATGCATTTGTAGGGGTGAGGAGGAACTCATCTAGAATTTGGCAAGGGCTTCTATCTTTGCTTATTTGCCCCCTTTCCTTCACATCTCATTTTAAGGGAAGTGATCATGTGCATCTATCTAAGTGGTCCCATCTTTCATCTATCTTTCATTCTCCTTCTAGATGGAAATGAAGCTCTAGAGAAGGAGGCATTCATTTTTGCAGCTTATACCCTTTATGGCCAGCTAGGTGTTCATTTGTCTTGAGATTTCTGTGTGTTTACCCCATAAAAACTCAACATATATAACAGCACCGAGAAAAAGAAGTGAAAGATGGTTCCTGATAGTGGCATGCTTCCTCACCAAATGCAGGTGGGAATTGACCTTGACTGAAGTGGGCCTTGATGCATAGGCCTCATGCTGGAGCTGTATGTTAGGGTCACTTTTATCCCTACAGAGTTAACCACTTACTAGTACATCCATTGGTTTCCTATAGTCCTTTTCTAGCCTCATTGGTCCTGCTTTCCTTCTTTATCCATTTAGCATGCAGCAGCACAATTAACAGCAATGGAATTGTATGTGTTTTCCACTAGTATTACTGAGTAGGCTTTTGGGCAGTAAGGTCAGGATTGCATAATGCTACAAGGACCTTTTCTCTCTAAAGATAAGCTGAATGCAAAGATGATTCAAGGCACTGCACTGAAAAAGGCAATTGTCTGGTGGAACTGTTATTGATATGGTGTCGTGTGTGGTGTTGTACATGTCCTGAGTACGAGACAGTCCTGCCTATAAGAACATAGTCAAAATAGTGGAATCACATAGTTAGTATTTCTAATGAGCTGGTTGATACACATCCCTAGACTGCAGCAGGGTAGCATCAGGAAAGCTGAAGAGAATACAGGGGCCGTGTCTACATGGGATGCTTTACTGCACACTAATCTACTGTGCGGTAAAGCATCACTGTCTACATATGCAGGGACTTACTATGCAATAAATTTACTACCTGCACATGCATCGTAGAATGCATATGCAGGTAGTAAATCTACTGAGCAGTAAAGCCAAATAGCATTGATTGCATGTGTAGATGTTCCCAGTAAGTGGGTAGTTAAGGGCTGAGAAGATTTGGGAACGTTGGATGTTTTTCTCGTCCAACAGAACGAGTCTCTCTTCTCAGAGCACAAGATTTGTTGCCAAGATGCGCTCACCTGCTCTCTGTTTGTTGTCACAGGAGGCTGGCTCGCTCCACACTGCTGCTGATCCCCTTGTTTGGAATTCACTACACTGTGTTCGCCTTTTCTCCTGAAAATGTCAGCAAGCGGGAGAGACTTGTGTTTGAACTGGGGCTGGGATCTTTCCAGGTGACTATGCAGTGACTGTTGCTTTTGTTGAGAAGAAAGGTGCATTCATTCTGATTGCTGGGTGTGAATCTCTCTCTGCTGTGTGCTCATTCACCTATAAAACACACTTTACAGACTAGTTTATTTTTATTTTTTTTTGTCTCCAGCTGCTTTCTAACATTTCCTAGAGGATTTAAATTCATAGTCTCTTCTCTTGTATTTGTCCAGGGCTTTGTTGTTGCTGTTCTCTATTGTTTCCTGAACGGGGAGGTAAGACTTTTGATGCTGTATGTTTTCCCCATGTTGTGTTTAGCATGGCATTTTCTTCCCGTCGCACCTTCCACCTTCCATCATACCTCTTAGCTGTAATTCATTATCTACCCCACTCCTTGTTTCTGAGGGCCAAATCTCACAGTGCCTTCAGCAAAACAGGAAGGGAGCGTGGTTTTTTCGATAAAGCGTTGGACTTGAAGTATCCTTGTTGTGGTTCTTTTCCTAATTTTTCAGGGGCTGGAAATCATCTCTTCCTCTGAGAGGAGCATTGGGTATTTATTATGACTGTATTAGGATTTATCCTTATTATGACTGTACTAGGATTTATCTGTAAGCTAGGGCCAATATTAACTTATAAGGCCCTGAATACCTCAAATGCATGTTTTGGGCCTAATTTTATTGTTTATAAAATGCTTTGAGATGCTCGAAGGAAGGAACCACCAACACATAAAGGTTTACTATATATAGCAGGGATTTCTTCTCAGAAAGTAAAGGTTTAGCCAGTATTATGTAAGTATTTTCAGTGATTTGCCATATGCTATTTTTGCAGTTTCTTTCATAATTATGACATTATTTTGGCATATTTTAAAGTACACTTTCTCAATGTTGGACTTTGGCATAGTGAGTGGAGAGATATGAATTGCCTCCATGACTATGGCATTTCTCATTCTTGCTTTTCTGTTACTGTAGCTTTGAACCTATCTTCAAAAGTATTTCTGCTAAGTGTTCCAGATGAGTCCCTGGGATATGAAATCATGGCACTATTTTGTATGAATAAGGAAATAACATTAAAACATGGGACCCAATCCTCAAATAATATAGACTGGCTTTGGACAGTGGCTTGACAGTAATTTATTCCTGCCACCATGATAAGAGGCTTCTTTAGAAAAAAAAAAAAAAAGAACGATATATAAAGAGTTTTTCCAAAGCAATTTTAGATAAGGTTTAGCACATTTTTTATAGAGGCAAACCTACAGTAATCTACATATGTAAAATGTCTTCATAATGTAGTTAGGTGGCATATAAGTATGTTTGCAGATATTATCCATCCACTAAGAAGAAAAAATGTATCTTCATGTGTGTACATGTATATTTGTGTGTGTTTTCTGCAGCATACTTCTAATATTTAGTATTGATGAAGAGCTTTTTGTCTTTTCAATTCTTAAATCATTAGATTAGCAAGAAGACCAGTTGCTAAGCCCAGGATTCAGTTGGGTTCCTTAAGTGTAGGCACCTGAATTCCAAAGAGCGATTCAATGGAGAAAAACTCAGTAACTGCCTGAATTCATTAAGTGCCTCCATGTAGGACTGCAGAGTTCCTGGGGTCTTTGCACTGGAGCTTTGGAGGGCTTTCAGAAGCAATGTAGGTGGTGTGAGGTCAACTCAAGTCAAAGGAAAGTCTTTTGATTGATCTCATTGGCTTTGGGGGAATAATTAATGAATGAATTGCAATTGCAAGGAAGAGCAGTCTGTTGAAGGAAAAGGATGCTAGATCCTAGACTTTTCTTGAGCATGGTGGATTGCTGATTTATAGGTCACTGTTCCAGAAGTGAAAAATAAAATGTCATGGACCATATCACATCTCTGAGGGTGAAGTCCTGGATAAACTGAAGTTAATGGCCAAGCTTCCATTGATTTCCAATGTCCAGGATTTCACAGGCAATACCCATGAAGAGGGCTCATTGCCTGGTGTTATGAAGGAGTTGTTTTTGTGAGCAGTGCTCCATAAGGGTTCACTGTACAGTGTCTTGCCTCTGCTTCCAAATCAGGAGTGGCCAGCCTTTGGCCCATGCTACAAGTGGCACGGGCAGCCTCTGTGTGGCAAATGCCAGATTAGAGAAGAGACAGGCAGCACAGTGACAGATGGAGAAGGAAGGAGAAAGCAGAGCAGCAGGTCAGGCAGGCAGAGCAGAGCAAGAAGCAAAAAGCAAGCGCAGTAAATCAGACTGGCGCTTGGGGAGGGTACGGAGCTAATTTGTGGCATATGTGCCAAAAGGTTAAATCCCACTGTCCTAAAGCATCTAGTACTCACCACTGCTGGGTATGAGGGTCTAGATACCTGACGAGTACTGACCTCACGTCTGTAGAAGTCAATGGGCTTTAGAAGAGTAAGTAGATGTATTGCTATGGTGGTCCCCATGTTTATTAAATATCAAAGATCGTGGCACCGAACACAGATGGAAGGTGAGGTCTGCTCCCATTGCATTTCACCACTAGTCCCAGCTTCTTTGAACCTTAGCTATCACTGAGCTGAGAAATTCAAGGCTGGCCTGAAACGAGTGTTTATTTTGAAAACTTGATGATCTGCCAGCATGTACCCGAGCGGCTAAGTACATAAAAAAATGACCTTTTAAAGTTTCTCCCTAAAGGTGCAATCAGAAATAAAGAGGAAATGGAGGAGCTGGAAAGTCAACCGGTATTTTGCTGTGGATTTCAAACATCGCCATCCCTCTCTGGCGAGCAGCGGAGTGAACGGGGGGACGCAACTCTCCATTCTGAGCAAGAGCAGCTCTCAGATTCGGATGTCCAGCATAAATGCAGAGAATCTAGCGACCTGAGTAACTAAAACACAAGCCGACAGTCCAACCAAAAAACCCGCCCCTTTAAAAAGAAAAGAAAAAAAAATCATAGTTTTGGTGGTGTGGATTTTCTTTTCGTTGTTTTTTTACATTGTTCAAAAGCATGAAATAAAATGCCCCTGACATTTTGCAGAGGAGAGGGGGGGGAACAAAAAAAAAACAAAAAAACCATGATATTTTTTTAATGATCACTGTAAATACATGACTGAGTCCCATCGTTCTTGATGACAACGCTAGGCCATGCCCACCCATCTCTCCATGCTCCTGAGCACCTGCACATAATCCATAGTCGGCCAAAGTGTAACAAGTGATTGCTGTGCTGCCCTTCTGGTTTAAATCTGTGACTGGACGTTGTCATGGTTATCCTGCTTGGTTTCATTCTGTTCTTTTTCCAATCAAGTGCATCTTACCCACACCTCATCCCCATCTTTTGATGTGCAAGACATTTTCAGCGCGCCTTCTTTGAGTCTTAAGCTAGAGTTATAAAGTGTGGGCTGGTGTTGCCGGCAAGTTCAGGAAAGACCCTGGAAATGGATTTCCTGGCTAGGTTTGGTCAGAAGCAGCCAGTGGATTTGATCGTCTGCTGGGGTTAAGCGAGACGACGTAGCGGTCACCATTCGAGAGAGAGGGAAATTCCAGACAGCAAAGGCGAGAGTGAGATCCTCCGGTGCAACTACATGAAACATAGCTGCTGACATTCAGCAGAGGGGACTTCAGGTCACAGAGATGGGGGTCTGTTCTTTTTTCCCCCTCTTCCACCGAATGTTTTAGGGAATGTGTATGTTCTAGGCAAACTGTGAATTTTCTAAAAGGGCCGTACTTTTGAGATATATCTATATTTTTGGAGTGGATTGTTTGGATCTTTGGATAATGTGAAAAGAAAAAAAAAACAAAAGATTTTATTTCTCACGGTAAAGGGCAAAGGTCACTTCCAGTATGTGCACCTCCTCTAGATACCCCAGGAACCCCTGCATCCACGTCCATCCCGTGGCACTGCTTTTGATAGTGGCGTGACACATAAAGTGTGTTGCTGCTGTGACAGAGCTGCTGGAGCCAGTGTTGGGACTCAAATTTGCCAGCACAAGAGGCCCCATGGAGGTCTGGCATGGTGAGTTTTGGAACGTAAATGTCATCAATGTTGGTTGAACTCTTAGGCTGAACAATGGGATGCTCCTAAAAGGAACGGTAGACTTCAGGTGATTGTTCATACATGACAGTTTCTTCTGTCAGTGGATACTATTTTTTTGTTTGTTTGACAATAGATGTCATCAACGCCTTTGCTTAAAAAGAAAAAGTTCTCTCCAACTTTGCCTTGTAGTTAGAGCCAAGACTGGTATCTATCTACTTCAGTCCAATGTCAATGATGTCAATTCTCAAAGAACCTTTATGCAGTGCATAAAGACTTTAAAGACTTTTACTTTTCCTCTTACTTCATTATGGATTTATGAACTGATAAAAACTATATATAAAAACAATATATATATACATATATATGTATGTGTGCGTGTATGTGAGTATTAAAACGCAAATATGACATTTTAAATATGACGGTGTGAGCTCAAGCTAACAACAACCAGGCAAGTCAAAATTAAGGCCAGTCCTCCTTTCTTCATGAAAATATTTGTGCAAAAGAAAGTTATGCACACAAATGTCAGAGTCAGCTAAAATTTTAGCTTTCCTGGGTTTTTTTGTTAGCTTAGGTTAAAACTTTTAACGTCGTTTTAAGTCTAGATTTTTTTTTATTAATAGTTTCCTTGTTTTTAAAAGGAAAACACATCATGTGAACTGATGAGAGAAGTTTTAATAATGACACATAACAATCATATTGTGCTTTTGGGGGCATAGCCTGCTCTCAGTTACAGTGGTGAGCACCTGCAGTGATATCAGTTGTATTAGGGCACCCATACCAAAATCCATTGGGTAAACAGGAGTTCACAGTAAGTGAATAGCTGAAGGATCATCCCTTATAAGACATTATCACCTCTGTAAGGGTTGAAATCACCCTTCTACAGAGAACCAGCAAAGGGTCTATTTTCCACTTAAGCTGATTTTGAGGTCGTAAGTTGGTCTTGCACAATTCATAAATCTATTGGCAGCCCTCAGTATTAAGCTGACCCTTCCTGAGAGAAGAATTTGGCCTTCTCTGTTGCAGGCACTGTGCAAAAATGACACAAGTATTTTTACCTGATAGATTGGAATTTCCTCTCTCATTAGATGCCACAACTGGCTATTTTAGTGAGTTTCCCAATAACTCACATACTCATTACAGGAGAGGGGCACTGAAGATGGGAAGGTTAAATTCAGATCTCTTGGGTAAATGCATACTTATAATTTTTTTTTTTAAAGAAAATGATCTAATATTAAAGGAAGAGATGAGATTTAGTTTTGTATTTTCTGTAATATGGGCTTTCACAAGGTTAATACTGACCATAGTGTATGTGTCTGATTTAAGAAATACATGGATGATGAAAAAAGGCATTTTTTGCATGAATGACCACTGGCCTGTTTGCAATTCTCGATTGGTTACAAATTTCAGAAACAACCGTTTAACCATTGCCTCTGGGTGGAAAACGTTTTGTGCCACGTTTCAGTCCAGAGCAAAAATTCTCTTCTTGGCCATCCTAAAATCCTCTTCAATTTGAGTTGGTGGGTCTCAGTCCAGTGCCGTGTGGACAAGTGTCCATATCACAGAATCCCCCCTCTACAGTGGCACATATGGGAAGCCAGATCCTCAGCTGATGTCAATTGGGCATAACATCGCCAGTGTCCGTGATACCATGCCAATTTAAACAGGGGAGGATCTGGCTTTATTGCTTTTTTATTTTATTTTATTTTATTTTATTTTATTTTATTTTTTGTTGGCAGTCTCACCAAGAGAAGCCAAATGAGACTGAACTCGCCTTGGGATTCCTAGAGCCCAGGCTCAGGAGCAAGGCCAGTTGATGGGACATTGCATTGGAAGCTTGTGCTGTTTCTGTATATGCTGTATTTGTTCAGTGGCAGGAGAGAGGACTTTAGTCTTCAAGATTGTCAATACAATACCTTTCACCAGCACTGAATTTATTAGAACAAATTATAGAGCTCTATATTTAATATGTAGTATATTCTATAAACTACACCCAAACCCCTTCTCCTAGGGTTTTCTACTGGAAGTGCTGACACACTCATATAGTCTGGCATTCACCTGGCCACTCTAACACTCAGTGTTACTTGAAAGATCATACTTCAAGTGTATATAGTTACTTAAACAAGGACTCTAATGCCATTGTGTAGAGTATGCTCTTGGATATCTTTATGTTGAATGTACGCTGAAGATGCTGGATTTGTATAGTCACCACTTCTAGTGGCCATCGTTTCTAAATGTCAGGATGGAAGGAACCAAAAGACAGACATGCTTCAAAGTGTGTGTAAATATCTATTTGAGCGTAACAGTGCTTGGGGGGAGGAGGGGGGTTGTATTTTTTTTTCTCACTGTGAAGTATATTTTGGCATTAGAAAGTATATGTTATTAAAAGGTAATTAAAAAAAAAGTGTGTGCTGCTCCCTGAGCCATTTTTACACCGTACCTATCAAATGTTTCCCATCCAGTTGCCTGCCTTCCTCCCTCCCTTCCTTCCTACCTTCCTTGATTTTGTAAATATAACAGATCTTATGTCCTGTAGCCTTTGTGAGCATGCCCTGCAATGGGGATTGGTGACCGAGTGTGGAAAGGGTTCAAGAGGTGTCTTAAAATCCCGAAGTGGAAAGTCCCTTTTAAAAAGTAGGGGGGTGAAATTCAGTTGTGCTGGACACCTACACCTGCTTTTAATCTCAGCTGGTGTTGTGGGTGCTTCTTGATGCTAAAAAATCAAGCCTTGGCTTAGTGACAAAGCAAGGTCCTTTGGTGTCCTTGGCAGAGCAGAGTGGTGGTGGGGATTGGAGATGTTATGCCAGCTACTTGCAAGCTGAAGGTGGGATCTTACCTGCCATGGCCATGTTTTCACCTACCATGGCCAGCTTTCAGCTGGGGGAACAGGCTCACCACTGCACCTGCCCAGTGCTACAGTCTCCTCGGGGACTGGCAGTCTGGATCCACCCCTGCTAAATCAGCACCCACCCCAAAATACACTACCAGCACTTAGATACTTAAGTAAAAGTGACGCAAATTTCAGAGGCACTAAGAAAGAAATGGCAGGGTGTTTTCCCCAACATCGGTACTCACCGTTGAAAATGTGGGTTTAAGATTTCAGCATAATTTCAGCAATATTCAGGAAGGGCTTTTCTTTTGGAAGTCTCCAGTGGTTTAGTAGAAGTAGCCTTGCTACTGGTCTCCTCCTAGCAGGAGAATAATTCAGAAGTGGTTACTGTATAAAATCTGAGAGAAAGCTTGGCTTCTTTCATCAGGTGTCTCAGAAAAGCTTATGCATCTGTGATGCAGTTAGTCTAGAAGGTGAAAACCTACCCTACCTTCTGTATGAAAGCTGTGAGCTGAAAACTTCCTGATGAAGAAAGTATCCCGGCATGTTACAGCATCAAGCATGCAATGCCGTTACTAGCCGCTTACGGGCTGTTCTTTTCAAAGGGAACCAGCTCTGAAAGGCGCTCACGGGAGAGGGTCTCAGCAGCATCCCAAGCCCTAATACTGTAGATCATTTGTAGCTGCAACCCACCCAGAAAGCCTGACCCCCCAAAGAAACCAGAGTCAGCTGTTTCATTTTTCTTCTATGAGGGTTTTTCTGTGGAGGGGGTATAATGAGCAGGCTAGGGTTTCACCTGGGAGATCCAAGCCATGGTCCCCGGGCAGAAGGGCATCAGGTCCTCTTGGATGCAACCAATTAAAACTGTAATTCTTGCTCTGTATTTTGGAAGATATTCCTAGAGTGCCACTATTGCTGACCTTTATGGTAACAGGGCTAGGTTCCTCAAGTATCTCCTAGGACTGGCAAGCTATTGACAGTCCAGGGTGGAGGTGAGCATAGAGCACAGCAGCGAAATTAATGTTGAGTTGTGTTTTTAACTACAGCTATCTGCGTAGATCTTCAAATGAGTAGCTATGTGATCTATGTCTATCTGCTGCAAAGCAGTAAATACCAATATACAGGAAACGGACTGAAATCGTACAAATGACACTGTCTGGACCTTACTGAGACCCTTGTGCCTGAAGACTGCTTTTTCTGGAAAGTGGAATATAGCTGGGCTGTTCGTGCCTCTGGAATAGTATCTGCGCTCCAGGGATGTAGGTTGGAGTAGCTTTACTCACACTAGGCATGGCAGAGTTGCACCTTATAGACTAACTCAGAGATTCATAAGCTTTCAAAAGCCACAGCTCACTTCTTCAGATGCTAGGAAAGGCCTTTTAGGGAGCAGGCATTCAAACAGACTGATTTAAATATAAAGGATAGGGAAGGGTGGAGGAAAGGAGAAGCGCACTGCTTAGAGAGGGAAAGGTGGATTGAAGAGAAAAACAGCAGTAAACCCAAAGGGGCATGGCTTTTAAAAGCTAATCTAAGTAATGGGATAAGAATCCAGAGCCTCTGTTTAGCTCACACTTAACACAATCCAGTAGGTGGATTTTTTAATTTTTTTTTTTTAAGTTCAAGTTGGATGTTAGAGCATTGTTGTGTAAGGACAGGTACTCTGACGTCTGCAATCAAATGTCCAGGGAGGTTACAGGTTCTGCCCTAGGCTTGTGTGTCTTTCTGGGCTTGATATTCATTCTTTCTTAGATGAAGAGATTGTCCAGTTTGTTCAATGTAGACAGCACAGGGTCGCTGTGAGCAGTTGATGGTTTATGCGACTTTGGTAAAGGATAAGATGAATGAACCCCAAAGATGTCATACTGTTGCTGTATACCTGTGTCCCCTGCAATTGTTGTCTACTAATTTTATATTTTGAGTTTTAGCTACTGAAGGAGCATTACTAATATGTTTGGTGGGGCTTACTTTATATGCAAATGGTGTTTCATACCACGCTGGCTTGGCCTACTTTCTTGATGTCATTGGGGGACTCCTTATATGAAAAGTTGCACAATCAGGACTATGGATTGTTTTAAATCCACATTTTAAAGATGCAGCCTATCAAATGAAATAGTTGCAAGGAAATTACCTGCTTTCTATGTTATTCTACAATAGAAATATACCAACAATGGATGGAATTATACCTTCATGGGCACATTAACAGCTTCAATGGGAAGTTGCATCACAGAGATTGAAAAAATTAACCAGTTACCCCAAACAAAACAAAGCAATAAAGACTGTACAAATGTTTGGCAGAAATGCAAGCTGTACAGGCCACATCCTCAGCTGTTAAAAGGCAGTGGGTGTGTCTACATGTGTAGTTACACATGCCTAAACTTAATGCACCTTTGTTTAAGGCGATTTGGGCATGCGTCCACATGTAGATGCATTAATGCACATTAAGACACACTAAATTAACCTGGCATAGCTAAGTCACATCAGTGCACATGTAGCCACACTAATGCACATTAACACAGTGTGCATCCATTGACTGGAACATTAGATTTGTAGGGCTCTTCCAAGTCATCAAATCCAGGCCTCTGCTGTTGCTGGCAACTGCACTATATAACCCCTTACAAAACCAGATCAACCGTCAACTTAATAGTAGTTGGGGGTTGCCCAGACTAGTCCTACTTAACTTGGAGTGTAATGGCAGAGGGGCTCAGCTATCCTGATCTGGATGCAAATGGCTTTTTTTCAAAGCTCCACGCTGGGTTTGTTGTCCATTGTCCCTAATATGAATTAGGTACCTGGTCAATCAGGCCAGAGAGCCAAAGGAGGCTGGATGTGATGCTAGTCAAAGTACCTCTTTTGGGGATACCTGGATATAGAAAGTAGTGCTTCTTCACCATGCTCCACCAGTATGCAGCAGCTTGGCCAGTTTAAATATAGCATTGTTCTTTATCTAGAATAGCAACTTCTCCCTCCCTGGAAGGCAGACAGACTATGGACAGAACCAGTGTACATGCCCAAATGGGAGGTATAAACACACTTTCAGATGCTATTTCACCCTCTTGTGGAATAGACTAGCCCTGTATAGCAACTGCTGGAGACAAATGGATGAGGGATCCCCCATATGTTTTAACCCTAGATCCTAGTGATTAGAGCAGGTAGAGAACAAGGTGCTAAATCCCTTCACTCAGAGGGCATTTGAACTCACCCATAGGCCATAAAATAGGCCTTATCCAGCATCCTCTCCATCCTTGCTCTTGAAGCTGATCCCCTGGTCAACCAAGAGAGGCAGATATGTGGTACCATGTGGAGAAGAAACCAGATGGCATGTGGCTCAGTGCGTTGGAAACTGTCCTGGATGGAAGAGGCCCATGGGTCCAACCTGATGAGGCAGTAACTCCAAATGAGGCAGTAACTTCCCCACTGCTCTCCATCCATTTTATTCAGTGCAAGGTGCAGTGGCTCAGCTTCAAAAGGAAGGTTGAAGATGGTTTTGGATGGTGCCTGAACACCATACTTGGTGTTGGGGCCATTTGCTGTGATGCACATTCAAACACTGGCTGTGTTAGAAGCTGGGTTGCCTGCTCTCTGGGTGAATGCCCTCATCAGGCAAAAATACAGGAGAGAGAGCCCGCCACCCCATACCTCCTCCGTGTCTTTCAAACATCTAGTAGTCATGGGGTTTTGCCTGGCTACAATTTCAAAACTCACCCAGCCCTATATGCATACCTGGGCATGCATATTCCATGCTGTACCTGTCCCATCCCAGGCAAAGCAAAAAGGAATCAAATGATTGAAAAGGCAGTAACGTTTTTAAGTAGTGTTCACTTCACGTCCATTGTTAATGTCAGGAATTAAGGTATTGTATGATTGTAAATAACAGACACTGATGGAAAACTATTGAGAAACCAAGAACATTAACCTATAGCAGTGAATTAAAGAAACTGAAGTGATCAGACAAGGGCAAAAAGTTGGATCGCAAACTCAGCTGCACAGCTTTTGAAAGGGTTCAGATTTGAACCCATTGTTAAGCTACCCTGGCTTTGGTTTCAGGGTGACTGTGAAACCCCAGGAGGCTCATCTGAGTTTCCTAGGGTGGTCACAGTCAAAATCTTATAAGACTAAATCGTTCTTTATCATTTCCAACCAAGGTAGGTAGTTTCTCTTTCATAATATGTCCGTCAGTCAAGCTGGTAGAAATATCCTGAGGATAGCTTGTGAGTTGTCAAGCTTGGGGGCATCTGAATCTAGCCAGTAGAATCATAGAAAATGAGGACTGGAAGGGACCTCAGGTGGTCACATCTAGTCCACCTCCTGCTCCCAGCAGGACCAGCCCCAACTACATCATCCCAGCCAAGGTCTTAAAAACCTCCAAGGATGGAGACTCCACCACCTGTCTGGGTAACCTGTTCCAGTGAATTACTACCTTCCCAGTGAGAACATTTTTCCTCATATCTAACCTAAACTTCCCTTGCTGCAACTTGAAACCATTGCTCCTTCTTCTGTCATCTGCCCCCACTGAGAACAGTCCAGCTCCATCCTCTTTCGAACCTGGGTTCAGGTAGTCAAAGACTGCTATTCAATCCCCATTCAATTTTCTCTTCTCCAGACTAAATAAGCCTAATTCTCTCAGCCTCTCCTAACAAGTTATGTCCCCCAGCCCCCAAACCATTTTTGTTACCCTGCACTGGACTCTCTCCAACTTGTCCACATCCTGTCTGTAGTGGGGGGCCCAAAACTGGACACAGGCCTCCAGATGTGGCCTCACCAGTGCTAAATAGAGAGGGGCAAAGTGAACTTTACAACCTGGCACCTGACTTATATGACTCCATAACCCTATGTTAGCTGCCATCTCTCTACCAGAAAGAAAGTGCAGAGGGTTTGGGGATCCCAGCAAAGAACAAAGGAAATGAAGGGAACCAGACCATCATCTACAATGACAGCCCCTCTGTTTAATCTGCATCATCGCAACATAGGTTTTGTTTTGCTCTTGTGTGCATCGAGTAAAATATAAAACACAAAAACTGCTTGATACTTGAGCTCTCACACCCTTTGCTGCCTCAAGTAGGGCTCCTCATTAATGCTATGCCCCTCACTTCTCTTTTTTTTTATAGTGGCTACACAAGTGAAGATAGTTCAAAGCCATACCCCAGGCTGCATCCTGCTAAAGGAAGTTGCAGCCTAACCAGCTCATGATTTAATGTCTAGGGAGCTGATTAGAACAGAATCAAAATGCCACAGTGGCTTCTTTCTTAGGGCAGCCTGTTGGGTTTAAGTGATGTTTTTAATATACTATTTTACTGCTTTATTCAGTGGAGGGAGGGGGAGTTGATCCTATGCTTTGCCTACTTCCTTAATAAAGAGAGAAGGTGCTTCTTTTGCAGTCCTAAAAATCTTGACTACAAGTAAACAGACATCTTACATGTTTTTTAGGTAACTGAAAAGTGAATAAGTACTTAATGATATTTTTAAGGGCTGTTTTTCCTGTCTGACTGGATACTGCCATTCCATAAATTGCTAGACACCTCAGGACTCAGCTTTGAGCTGGCCTTCTGCTACTGCTGTTTGCACATCACCAGCTCCTCATCTCTTCTCTTGATGACCGTCTCCGACTTCCACTGTGTTTTGTGTTGTTAAATTTCCCATTCACTAATGTTTCAGCACTGAAGTCTAGAAAACCTGGTTGCACTTGGTCTGATTTCTCCTAGGAAGGCTATTGCTGTTCATTAGGGCTGGACAAATGTTTGTCCAAACTTTCTATTTTCATTGAACAGCGAGGGGAAAAATGTTGATAATGTTTTTTAATCAAACAAGGAGAAAAATGACAAAATAGCTGTTTTTTTCTTTCTCTTGGTCTCTGACATGTGTTGTGTCCAGCCTTTGCCATTTCACACATTTAAAGACCAGATCTAAAAGCCAGCCCTCATCCTGTTCTACTGTTATAGTCCCCCACCACTGTCCCCCACCCATTTCCTGCTTCTAGGCACATGAGGTTTTGCTCTGTTCAGGGATTTTCAGAAAAGCAGCGGGTCATGGGTAGGTGTCTGAAATAACCCACAGCTTTCTGGATCCCAAGAGAACCCAACAAGCCAAGGTAATGCACCTCATTTACTGTATATGTGCAATGCCCTTTTTGAAATGTTTCCTTCGGTCTTGTGCCAGCATTGACATCCTTATTATTATTCCTATCAGGGCAGTGACCAGAGCCTCCAGGAAAAAAAGTCCAGGTGAGGACATGTGAAAAAAATAGTACGGGCTTGGGTACATGAACAAATTATCATGAAGCCAAAGACAATGGGGCTTTACCAAGCATCAGCTGCTCTGTGCTAATGACCTGAATGCTTGTTTTTACCTTGTGGTAAGTGCAGCTTAAAAAGGACTAAGTTACAATGGGTATGGTACTATGGTGTAAGAGTAGTTACCGTGGGTGTGGTACTATGGAGTAAGAATGAACACATGGCCAATTTGCACACCACAAATGACATGTAGTAAAGCCCCACCCTCCTTGGCTTCACTAGTTTGTTCCACAGCTGCTGCCTTAAGAGATCATGCCTGAATCAAAATGAGTACAATCTAACAAGATAATGAAAATATTGTTATCAGTCCCACTTTACAGATGAGTGGCTAAAGCATGGAAAGATCCATAGACTTTCCAAGGTCCCACAGGATGTCTTCTGAGTCTGGGAGTTGATTTCTTGAGTGCTAGTCCACCATTAGGTTAGTCATCCTACGATCCTCTCCATGATAGGTAGGGTGTGCTTTCATAAGCAAGAAGAATATAGGTATTGCCTAGCCTTGTTGAGTGACTCAGTCTCAAGCTACAGTGTTTGGCCTCTGCTAAGTTCAGCACTTCAAGTCAGCTCTCACACTGTGCTTGCTTTCTTCTCCTCCTTTTTGTTTTCTGAGCCACCTGCACGCAGAGAGATGTTTGCAATCTTCAGAAAGCACTTGAAATGAGACTATTCCCAGGGCATTTTGTCTAAAGCAGTGCCATGGGGAGCAAAAGAAAACCTTTCTCCCTGAATGTCTCAGAAGAAATGGTGGCTTTACATACCCAGTGGTCTTGCCCAACAATCTAAACTGGTTATGAAAACCATAAGATCTTCCATGAAACTTTGCTCATTTTGAGAAACAAACCCAAACCGAACTCGTTAAAAAAAATGGATTTCAAAACTCCTAGTCGTTGTTTTCTTTGTTTTTCATCATCGTCCTTTTATCATGCATCTCAGGTGTTGCACTTTTGGGCCCCAACCAGCACTGAAGGGTGTCAAGATACCGCTGGAAAAATTGCCCTCATAAAAATTCTTGCCATGCCCTTGAGCACTGGAAGGAGATCCTCACCTTCACTAGGAGATACACAGATTGGTGTCTGCAAACAGTAAACGTGGAGCACTTCAGAGAAATGTCTGAACATCTAGCTAACCCTTGACCTCTGAGCTGTGCCGGTATGCCTGTCCAACATGGGGAGAAGCCCGGTCTGGCCATATATAAGTGTTCTAGGGTGAACACAAGACCCTACCTTATCTGAATGGTCATTCAGCAGAAGCCCAGCAGTCGCTTTCTTGAAGAGCATCTAACCTAGGCCTACCACTAGATTTTTGTAGTCCCTTCAAATGCAAGCTGAGTGCAGCAGTAAATAGTATGGCTCATGCTGTAAAGAGGTGAGAAATGTATATCAAACCCAGTGGATCCCATGAGCCCCTCAAAACTATCCTGCCATGGGATAGTCAGCAAGCTGGGCCTTTGCTCAGCCTCTCCTTCTTGGCTCTGCCACTGTAGTGAAGTATACTTTTAAAAGGGCCTATGAGTGGGCCTATGAGCAGTGGAGCTATAGCATGGAAAAAAATGTGCCCTGGGCAGCTCTCTTTCACCCTTCACCACTTGTCTCTGCCTACCTTCTTGCTCCCAGGCTCAGGAAGAGCAGCAAGCAGGGCGCCATGCAGTACAAGGCACTCTGGGATACGCAGTCCTTCAGACTGGCAGTGGAATTTGCTGCTGTGTGGAAATTGCAACCCACTTTTTTGCTGTTGAAGCCCATGTCCAGAGGTAAAAAAAAAGTGCTGAATTGAGTACAAAAATGTAGTGGTCAGTTCCCCATGCCCCGCCTCCCGGCAACCACCCACTATACCCCGGCAGCAGCAAATTTCACTGCTGCTCTGCAAAGCTACTATTCTCAAAAATGCTTTGTGTTCTGTGACACACAGGTCATGTCTACACATGCTTTTCTGTGCGCCTAAATTTAACGAGCATTTGCTTAATGCGCATTAAGGTGATTTAGGCCCATGCCTACACGTGCACGTGCTGAGGTGCATTAACGTGGTGTGCGGACTGATTTGGGACTCAAGTCAGTCCCAAGTCAATCGACACACAGTGTTAATGTGGCTTAGCGCATCTATATATGCATTAAGGCGCTTTAGCGATTCACGCCTAAATTTGATACTTGCTTTTGCAGGTATCAAATTTGTGTGTGAATAGCCTACAATCTCCATTTTTAAATCGCATTAAAGGTGCACGCATGTAGACGTGCACTCTCAATGCACCTTAAATTGGGCTAAAGCACCTTAAATTGGCATGTGGAGACGTACCCACACTGCCTTTGCCAGCAAGGAGTGTCCTAGAGGTAGGTAACTCCCCCTCAGCCCCTGTCCCAGCACCCTTCCCTTAAGCAGTGACTGGGGCACATACCTCACTCGCCCAACCCATGTTACATTACTGAAGCTACTGACAAATGGTACACACCAGGGTATGCTGTCAAGTGGAACTGGAGATGGTGTCTGGCCAGTGACCTGTGTGTGTCAGCTATGCCAAGAGTTGTGTTTGGAACAGCCTGTCTTGAATCAGAGCTCTCAGTTATGTCTCTGGGCCCACAACCAAACCTTTAGTGAATACAGGCAGGATTGTACCCTCTAGTTTTACCCACTTCAGGCACACAGAATCGGCTGTGGATTGTGCCTACTATAACAGTAAGTGGTAAACTGAGTGGTGCATGCAGTGACACCTAATGATGCGCTCATGTGCAGCTCCACATGTCTTTGTTCTAGAGCTAAGTTCAGTTCAATGCATCTTGCACTTTCTGTATGACAATCCTGTAGCAGAACCTGACCAATGTGCCATGGGTTGAACCTTGCGCATTTTTCATTTGGATGTTCTGATTTTGCCATTTTCTTCCTTTTGCCTTTTGTGTGTGTGTGGGGGGGGTCATCCTTGTGAAGAATGAATGTGTGATATGAACTTTACTGTGTCTATCAGTAATTTAAGTAATCCGGGCCGCTGTGGACGCCTGTTTCAATGAACCTGACCACAGGACAGGAGTCTCCCAATGTCATTATGTACCTGTATAATCTGTAAAAACAAGCCTTTGTGTCTTCATTTGCTCTCCTGACTTCTTGTCTTTACAGTGGCAATACAACATGCTGCAACTCTGAAAAGAGCTGTGCCATGCTGATGTGTGTAAAGCTATATTTTGGCTTTTGACGGGGTCACCATATGAATTTATCAGCCCTTTGAGTCTAATATTAACACTTTTTTGTCACAATTGGTAATGGGATCTGGGTCATTGAATTTTGTTATGAAGTGAAAACACACAGCTGTCAGCTGCTGCTTACTAGACTAATCTTGATTTTGTGTTCTGAAAAACAGTACTGGATTTTAATATGTATACTGCTGGAAATGACACAATAAATGTATTCTCATTTTTGTATGTCTCTTCTGGGCTAATGGGGTTACCTTTCCTGGCTGAAAGTTACAGTGGGATCTCCCGAGGTGTTCTTGCTATGAAAGCCTTTGCGTGCAATCTGGCAAACTCAGTTCAGGAAAGATTAGGTGCATGGTCCTCCATATTAGCATTCTACTTCCATTATAACACCTGTGCGATGTTGTTCACATCACTCACTTCCTTGTGTGATATTACCTAAGAAACTGCTGTGCCAAGCCCAATGGGCTGCTAGGCTCAGGTGGGCTTTCCTGTCTGCCTAGCAAATGGACACATTACACATTGCACTTTTTTTAGTCTCATCTACACTCTAATATGGCCTCCTTATTGCTTTGTCAAATCAAAGCTATTTCTCGCACAATAGTTGCAAGGGTTTTGCTAATCCACATTTAAGCAGCCTAAGTGGAGCTGCAGTCACTTTTTGGCAGAAGAGGCTTCTAGGGTACACCAGAGCTTTATGCAATGTTTCCTTCTGGCCTCATATGCTCAGTCTTATGCCTCAAATGCACTTCTGTAACTGGCTTAGAAGCACAATGACCCTCACTCCACAATGATTAAGATTATAAGTATCTCCTGTACATGACTAGCCTCATGCATCACTTAAGCAGGATATATAGTTTTGTATTAGGAAGCTAGTGTGAGGCTCAGAGAGCAAGTTTGCACTGGAAGTCCATTGAGCCAAAACTGGCTCTTAATAGATGTCCCAACCTTGCAAACTAAGTGTTGGCATGAGATGGGGAAACCTTCCCCCACCCACCCCTCTACTGACTCACTGTGACTAATTCCAAAGAGAGCGCTGACATAGAGTGTGCACAGTCCAGGAAAATCTATTTTCCTGGTTTTCTAACCTTGATGCATTCAGGCTTCTGTCAAATCTGGTCTTGGATTTGTGGATAGTGCCTCAAACCCAAGGTAATGTATTTTGAATGAAGTATTTTATGCACCGTGGCTAGCTTTGTTCATCCAAACATGTATTTCCTGTGGAGATTTCCAGGCAGCTCTGGCCAAAGGTCTGTGGATAATTTATGCTACCCTTGCACCAACCTCTGCCCAGTCCAGAGGCCACTCTAAGCCAGATCCCCAGTTTGCATTGAACATCTGTGGTCCCAAAAGCCTACTTATGGCAATCAATCCCCACCAGGGCACAAGGATGTCCCCAGCCATGTCTTCTGCCCGCAGCCTGGCTGCAGAGAAGGATGAAATATGGGGCTCCCCGGTGCTACTGCCCAAGGATGCCTGACACCACAGGCCAGGTAATCCAACTCCATAGGAGCCTTTCCTTAGAACAACCCAACATCCTACCCATGATTCGTATTCGAGGTACACACAGTAATACCCATGCCCTTATATCACATTGCCAGGCAGGGCCCTGCTGAAGCATCACACTGCTCCACACATGCCGCCTCCTGAACTGGAAGCAATACAAACCTCTCTGAGGCTTTTGGATGGAGGGTCTTGCTCTTCTGTTCTGGGTCATGCTTATCGCCAAATTTGGAGACAGGAAGGATTTTTTTTTTTCTGCCCCTCCCAACTCAGCTTGCCAAGGGCTGTGTGGGGGTTTCTAAGATCTTTTAAGCATAAATGTATCAATTACCTCCCTGTCATTGCAGTGGCAAGGTATTGGTCATGCCTTCATCTCCCCTGCTTTACCTTTGCCATGTTATAGGGCAGGTGTGCTCAACCCCTCGCCTGCAGAGCCATGTAATCCAGCCTGTAGGTCTCCCCATGGGGCCGAAAATTTGGTGGTGGGGAAGCAGTGGTAATTAATGCCACCAAATTTCCAAACCGCTTGTGGCTAGATCAGCCCTGCATAAAGGAACTGGCCTTGTTCCTACATAGCTACATGGGCCCCTGGCTAGGCCATTCCCATGAACTTGGCTTAGCCCTAGCTGGGCCACGTGCCTAATCAGACCCATGAACCAGATCCAGGCTGTAGCAGGACTTAGCACTGTTCATCTGGCCTGCAGGCCACAAAGGTTGGACGCCAGCATCACAGGGCATCCTTAGTGCTTCTGGCTTTGTGTTTGTTGGGTGAGGGTTTGAAGTGGTGGCTGCAGAGCATTCACAGGTCAAGGGCTGTCGGGGAATGCAGGGAACCTGCCTCAGTGGCCCAGGAAGCCCCTTTCCACGTCTGTGTTCCTCTCTTGTGGGGTTCAGCTGGTAAATGAATGAGCTCTGATGAGAGGCAAAACTAACAGGAGCATAAACTTGAGTGGGCCTCTTTTGCTGTGAGAGGTAGCAGGCCAAAAGCAGCATGTCGTGATCCAGCCCAGCACTGCCTGGCACACTACATCAAGGATACAAGGATGCCCAGAGTGTGCAGCATATCAACACATCATGAATGTGTGCCACTTCTGTAACACATACATAAACTTTTCAGTGTTAGGATGCAGTTGGATCAGACAGCCTTGCTTTTCTGCAGCACTGGGGTAACATGCATTCAGTGGAAAGGGCCAGAAGATGGCCAACATCAATGTTTTGGACCCTTTCATCTATGCAGCCCTTACTCCAAAGTTGGAATTTTTACAACACTCACATCCCAACAATTCAAATAAAAAAATAAAAAAATATTTAAGGAATACATTAGAAGCCTTGGCATAAGTGCCTCCATCTTGTAGGCATCCTCCAGTACATAAAGGTTGGAACAACTTTTGGCTAACCTTGTGAAGAGACAGGCTCGCAAAGCCAGTTTCCACATTTTTACTGGGGTAAACAGGAAAGCACTGACTTAGGTCTTGGACTATAATCACACAAACAAAGCAAGTGAACCCCATTACCATAAGGAGCAGCACTCATTGTTAAGTATTGACATCTAACTGCTAACAGCTAAGGCCATCCTAATTAGTTAAGTATTTGTTATAAATTCTTCACTTAGCTGAGAAGGGGGGAGTCATCATGATCAACCCTTTCCATTAACAGAAACCCAATCAGGTTGAAGATGGATGGATTTGGTAATTGTATATAGATGATTGTCAATGGGGGGGAAGTGACAAATCATGGACCTGAGCTGGTGGAAGACCTGAACAAGAGCCCAGTGTTGCTGGGGGTCCATCCTACACCCTTTTTGCATTTCCATGCATTTTTGCATTTCCATTGTCTGATCCGAATGCCAGTTAAACATATGTTTAGCTTTCCAATAAAGCGACGCTCTTGAGAAGAGACAGGTGTGCTCTCTCTTTATTCTCCATCCAACAAAGCAAGTTCCCTTTGTTCTAATTTGGGGATAGAGGCCTTCCCTTCAAACTGCATGAACACTAAAAATGGTATGTCAATGCCTGGGGGAGGATGAGAGGAACCATAAACATTGTTGCATTATTATAAAATCCTACTGTAAGCTCTTATCGTGAAACCACTGCATCACCACAGGAACATGCCGCCCTCCATGTGTCAGCACTGTTGCAAAGTGGTTATTGTGACAGTAGCCTGCAAACCTAATGGGTACATCTTAACACATGATGCCCACTCCAAGAGGTAGCTCCTTCTCAAATTTCTGTCTTCATAGCCAGAGAAGGCTGAATGAGCCCTTGACTTGGAAGGGTAAACTTGTGTTGGAGGTTTTCTTCAGTTTGCAAACACATGAGATGCCTTCCCTTGTCACTTGTGTAATTGCACCCACCTGCCCACCCCAAATCAGTTGAAAAACGCATTATAAGCCCTTATGTAAACCCCACTTGAGCCTACCAGAGGGAGCTTCCCTCGTGGTGAAATACTGCCTGCAAAGGAAGTCCACTTGAGTGCTTTCCGCCCCTAGGTACCTACCTGGTGGATATTTTGTAATAGCTTTGTGCACTATTCTCCAGCAGGCTGCAAATATTAGCTCGATGCTGACAAACGCCATGAGGTGGCAGTAGCCCCCCACATACCTACACCACTTTTCTATTGTAGGATGGGTGAAAACCTTTTGTTTTTCACCAAACGCTGACAGGAAGCCGTACTTTCCCCCTTCCCCTTGTTACACACACTTTAGCATTCTCACGTCTGTAGCGAGGAAGGCATCAGCAGCCATTCACAGCCTGAGAACTGATAGGATGAAGTGTTAATAATAGCTGCCAAGTGTTGTGCTGTGCCAAGTGGGATCTTCAGTGCTCATTGTTTAAAAGACTAGTTTGCATAGTCAAAATCAATTTGCATATCACTCTCCACTTTGTCTCAGGGTCAATATGCTCTGCCCTAAAATGGTGAAGGAAAGCGTGCAGTATTCACAACAAGGCGGCTGAAGTGGGGTGAAAGACCCTAGCATAGGATCAGGGCACAGCACGTGGGGCGAAGGAGACAGAGCTAGGGTGTCTGGAGGGTTGTTAGGTGCACCAAGTGGGGGCAGTCCAAACAGCAGTATTGAGGTGACTAGATGAATGTCTTTAGGCATCTTGTTGGATCCCGTAAGAAGGTGCCTTGAGACAAGTTTCAACTGCAGTAGCTTTGGACATCCCACTCCCAATTTTAGGCTTTACTCTTGTTGGCATCTAGTGCATGGAGAGTCAGAGCAAGCGGGCAGGGCTTGTTTCTAGTCATGATACCTTGCAATTTTGGAGGCAGTGTTGGGAATTTTAGACATGTCCAAAATTTCCTATGTAATTAACACTCCATTACTGGACATGCCCAGAAGCAGCTCAATCTTGACAGTGATTGACCCCCATCTTCATCATTTCTTACTGCCTAATTTAGGCCGCTCTCTGCCCAACTTTCTGCCTTTTGCAGACACCATTCTTAGATATCTAGCACTACCCAGGTCTAGAAGACCTTGCCCCCTAACTGTAGGGAATGGATTTCACTAGGCATCTACATCATTCTAGGGATCTAGTCCAAGACCTGAGTTCACAATCGAAGTGGATAGGGGTGGGGGGATTTAAGCAGCTATATACCTTTGAAAATCTGGACCAAACAGATTTGGCGAAGATGACCTAGGAATTCCATGACAGAGCAGGATGTGAACCCAGGTGTTTCTGGGGCTTAAGCTACTGCCCTAACCATTAAGTCCTTGTTCCTCCAAACCAAGGAGACAAAGGTCCTTTTCTCAAGTGGTCATAGCTCCTGAAGATCTTCTAATTACGCAGCCAGGCTTTCAGTTCCTCCTTTGCAGGGATAAACTCTCACTATGAACAATCAGAGGGGAAGTTCACAGGAAGGCTGTCATGAAGAGTCCACCCCCTTTACTCTAATGTTTGTGATTCTTGCCTTGAATAAGGATCTTAAGATTTCACCCAAAATATGACCCCATTTTTGCAAATGGGAATATTAAAGCACACAAATTAATGAAGATATCTGAGGTTTTACCAAATGGCTAACAAGTTTAGCATTTGTTGGCTCTCAGGCCCTTCTCCAACCTTCTAGATCTAGGGTGCTCAACCCCAACCTGTGGGCCAAATCCAGCCCGCAGGGCTCCCCAGAAGTCTGGAATTTGGGTGGCAGGGGAATAGTGGCATGGCTGCCTGGCTGCCACATTTCCAAACCTGTGGGAAGCCGTGGGCCCTGCACACAGGATTGGGCACCCAATCACAGTGTACAAGGCTCGCCAGGGGTGGTGCCAGACCCCAGGGTCCAAATCCCAGCATGCAGTGCCAAGCCCCAGGGTCCAATCCCATTGTTGGGGGCCAGAAGGGGGTGGCACCAGGCCTCTGGGGTGCAATCCTGACATATGGGGGTGTGCCAGGCCCAGGGCCAAATTTTGGTGCATAGGGCTCGATGCAGCCCACAAACTGGCTCCACGCTACTCACTTGACCCACAGGGTCAAAAGCTTGAGCACCATTGCTCTAGATCCTACTGTTTTGTTAGTAACATAGATAACATGGTCAAGAATGGAGTAGGAAACAATCTTCCACTAAATTCTAGCAAAGTGAGAAGGGAGCAGAGAGACTAGCAACCTCAACAAACCAGGTATTTCGACATTGCAAAGACAGAATAAACTAATGGTCTACCCTTCTCCCCCACCTCCCTTCTGCACCCTGGAGTATGAAAAAACCTCAGGCCAAGGTTTGCAAACATTACTAGTCAATCCCAGTATCAACCTGAGATACTTTCAAGAGACCTGGTAGTTAGAAAAGCAGCCCACACTAATTTCTGCAATGCAGTCTCCTTTAAGCCATCTCAACAATACCATTCAGTTTTGAAAATGGTGGCCAGTTTCTCTACAGCAACTGTTTTTAATTAAAGACAACACACCTTGTAACTTCAAAGTCTCTGGAACAATGCTAGTGTAGCTACGACTGTAGATAGTCTAGATAGGCTACAACCTAGACCCCTGAAACCAGTGTAGATAGAATGTATGAAGCTTTCCTTATGGCATGAACTGAAATCAATGGACCCATCCCACTGTCCTAGCATTGACTTACATCGGTTGGTATCTAAGGGAGTGAATTTTGAGTGCTTGAAGAAGAAAAGATCTGGCCTCTATTTTTTTTTTTTTGTAATAGGTGAAAGGAACAGATGGTGTCTGGGAGAAGAAGTTCTCATAGATGGGACAGTATCATGAAGATCCAACAGATAATCTGCACTGTCATCTCAGTCCATGTTTTCAGGAGACAATATGGGAATGTTTCAGCCTCCTTTAAGACACTCAGACAGAGGACATGCCATTCTGGTACTTGGATGTTTTTTTCTTAGGGCTGATTTTTTCCAGTAGTGATAACTGTGTGACATAGTTAATAGGACTGTTTTCTCTGGATACAGTCCGTTTTCTGTACGTGAAGTTCAAGTACTCTTGATATTGCAGCTTACGCAGCCATTTCTTCAGTTCAGCTTGAACCTACAGAAATGGAATTAAAGGAAACAGAGCTCAGGAATTAAAACATGAAAATGATGCGGTTTCTCCTACGCTATTTCTTAGATGTACAAGAATAGATTTTTTAAAAATAGCAAAAACTTAGGCTACTAAGGCTTGGATCTTACTCCACCTTAAGATGTTATGCCTCTGCTGCCATTTGCCTGAGATGTACATGGCTTGTCTTATGAGTGTGACCCTACACTAAAGAGATGCATAGTAGTCCTGTTCTTTCAGTAGGCAGCCTTATGTATTTTCATCATGTTGGGATACAGCTCACTCAGCAGGGAGATGTCTACCTGAACAAAGGCATTTAACTGACAGGGAGCAAAGCCCAACCTTTTGGAAAATGGCTGATGGCAGTCAAAGGCCTCATCCATTTTCTGCCCCATGGCCTAGTGGTTAGGAAACTTGCTTGGGAATTGAGAAGTGTTGATTCTGGACTGCATTGAATCAGAGAAGGGATTGAAATCGCATCACCTACTTCACAAGAAAGTGCGCTACCCACCATTTTCTGGATGAGACAAGGCTGAGAGCATCTTCATAAAATGATAGAATCCTAGAACATCAAGGTTGGAAGAGACCTCAAGAGGTCACATCTAGTCCAACCCCCTGCCCAAAACAGGACCATACCCAGCTAGATCATCCCAGCCAAGGCTTTGTCTATCTGGGTCTTAAAAACCTCCAAGGATGGAGAGTCCACCACCTGTCTGGGTAACCTATTCCAGTGTTTTACTACCCTCCTAGTCAAAGATTTTCATAACCTAAACTTCCCTTGCTGCAACTTGAGATTGTTGCTCCTTGGTCTGCCATCTGCCACCACTGAGAACAGTCCAGCTCCATCCTTTTCGGAACCACCTTAGATAGTTGAAGGCTGCTATTAAATCCCCCCTCAGTCTTCTCTTCTCCAGACTAAATACACCCAGTTCCCTCAGCTGATCCTTATAAGTTATGTGCACCAGGCCTCTAGCCATTTTTCCTGCCGTCCCCTGGACTCTCTCCAATTTGTACACATCCTTTCTATAGTGGGGAGCCCAAAACACCCCCTAGGCAACACTCCTACCAATACAGCCCAGTATGTCATTAGCCTTCTTCACAACAAGGACACACTGTTGGCTCATACTCAGCTTATTGCCCATTGTCACCCCCAGGTCCTTTTCTGTAGAGCTGCTGCCCAGCCAGTCAGCCCCCAGACTGTACCAGTGCATGTTCTGTCCTAAGTGCAGGACTTTGCACTTGTTCTTATTGAACCTCATGAGATTTCTTTTAGTTCAGTTCTTCAATTTGTCTAGGTCTCTCTGTATCCTCGCCCTGTCCCCCAGAATATCTACTACGCCCTCCTTCCACCCAGCTTGGTACTGATGCATGGGATTGTTCTGTCCTAAGCGTAGGACTTTGCACTTGTCCTTGTTGAACCTCATGAGATTTCTTTTAGTCCAATTCTTCAATATGTCTAGGTCTCTCTGTATCCCAGCCCTACCCTCCGAGGATATCTACTACTCCCCACTGCATCTGCCAGCTTTCTGAGGCTGCAATCCATCCCATTTTCCAGGTCAGTGATGAACAAAACTGGCCCCAGAAACAACCCCTGGGTCACTCCAATTGATATAGGCTGCCAATTAGACATTGAGCCCTTGATTATTACCCTTTGAAACCAATGGTCCAGCCAATTTTCTATCTACCTTACAGACTGCTTTTCCATAGCTTGCTTGTCAGAAGATTGTGGGAGACCATATCAAAAACCTTGCTAAAATTAAGGTCTATCACACATAGCACTCTCCCTGCAGCCACAGAGCCAGTCACCTCATCATAGAAGGCAATCAGGTTGATCAGGCATAACTTGCCCTTGGTGAATGTATGCTGACTTCCTGATCACCTCCTCTACCAAGTGCTTAGAAATGGAGTCCCTGAGGATCTGCTCCTTGATTTTTCCAGGGACTGAGGTGAACCTAACCAGTCTGTAATTCTCTGGATACTCCTTCAACTCTTTTTTTAAAGATGGGCACTATACTTACTCTTTTCCAATTGTCTGGGACCTCTCCTGATTGACACAAGTTTTCAGAGATAATGGCCAGAGGGTCTGCAATCACATCAGCCAACTCCCTCAGCACCCTTGGGTACATCGCATCCCACCCCATGAACTTGTGCATAGCCATCTTTTCTAATAATCCCTAACCTGTTCTTTCACCACTGCTGGCTGCTCACCCCCCGCCCAGACTGCACTAACTAGTGCAGCAGTCTGGGAGGTGCCCTTGCCTATGAAGATGGAGGTGAGAAAGGCATTGAGCACTTCAGCCTCTTCTGCATCCTCTGTCCCTAAGGTGCCTCCCCCATTCAGTAAGGGACCCCCACTTTCCCTGATCCTTCTCTTGCTACTGACACACTTGTCAGAACCCTTGTTACCTTTCATGTCCTTTACTGGCTGCATCTCCAGTTGCACGTTGGCCTTCCTGATTTTATCTCTGCATGCCTGAACAATACTTTTATACTCCTCCCTAGTCATTTATCTAAGTTTCCACATCTTGTAAGCTTCCTTTTTGTGTTTTAGCTCACTGAAGAGCTCCCTGCTAAGCCACACTGGTCTTCTGCCATACTTGCTAGTCTTCCTGCACAGTGGGATGATTTGTTCCTGCACCCTCAGTACAGTTTCTTTAAAATACAACCCGTTCTCCTGGACTCCTCTCCCACACAGACTGACCACCCAGGAGATTTTGCCTATCAGTTTCCAAATCAAATCAAAATCTGCTCTTCTCAAGTCCAGGGTCCTTACTCTGCTTCTTTCCTTCCTACCTTTCCTCAGGATCCTGAACTCAATCATTTTGTGGCCATTGCTGCTCTTTTTCTCCCTCCTCCCTCTTACACACTCTGCTTCTGGTGCTATGATTGAAGTGTTTTTGTTTAGGGTTCCAGCTTCAAATGGTAGAAGGGGTTCAAATTCTCTTTGGTTGAATTAGGCCTACAAACCAGATCTCCCACTTTTTGCACTGTCAGGCAAAAGGCGGGGAGGCTGGCTCTTACTGTGGCCACAGCTACACTTTAGGAATTGTGGAATGATACTGAGTTTGTTCTTTCTTATTTAGCAACTCATTTCAATCAAGTGTATCTGAAGTTACATTATGTTCACATTGTCACCATGCTTCTGAAAACTGTTCCATGCCCACCCACCCCTACTCTCCCATGCAACTTGGGAACACTCCCAAACACCAGGTTCAAACTCTTAAGAGACAAAGAGCTCAAGAGGCACCAAGTGGCCACCCTGAAGTGTCCTCATTGCCTCAGTTCCATGTTTGAAGATATGCAGCTGAAGTCGGTAGCCAGGTGAGAGAGAGTGGCATTCATGGACACCATAGTGGCTATCTTGGCTTACTTACAGATTACTGCACATGCTCAGATCTAACTACCTAACAACTTCTCAGGCCAAAATGGAAACTCACAAGGGGCCTAAGGGCAGTTTTACATGTGGTTTGGTATGCGGCACTGGGTGCTTTAATTAGCAAGCCATGCTAATTAAAAGCACCTGCGCAGCATGTGTATTGGCATCTCTGTGCTGAAAAAATGGCAGTGGGGCACACTGAACTAAAGCTCATTGAATGTGTTTTATTTCAAAGCACTCCACCGCCATTTTTTCAGGGATGGCAATACATGTGATGCGGGATGCTGCTGGAGCACCTCAATTTCTGTGCTCCGGTAGACTCCATTAATTGAGCAAGATTTCCAGCATGTTGGAGCAGGCTCTGCACACATCTATATGAACTCTAAATGTCTATTCAATTGTGTAGCTGCTGAGTAGTGTGGAATGGGATAGCATTTAGTGACTTGGGTGCCTAAAAGCTGTGTAAGCCATCTATGTGGGCTTGAAATCTTTGGGCGTCGGAAGTTGCAAAGCTAGAAACCTCCAGCTCCTCAGTAAGGAAGGGAAACTTCACTGTAAGAACTACTTCACAATTAGGGCGGCTAGGATCTGGAACCAGCTGCCAAGGGAAGTGGTGCTGGCTCCTACCCTGGGGGTCTTTAAGAGGAGGCTTGATGCCTACCTGGCTGGAATCATTTGAGCCCAGTTTTTCTCCTGCCCAGGCAGGGGGTTGGACTTGAAGATCTACAAGGTCCCTTCCGACCCGACTTCTATGACTTCTGTGATTGTAAGTGTCTCTTAGACATCTTAAGGGCAGAATGGGAGCTGAACCTAAATTTGCCTATGGCTCCAATTTTGATATTTAATATTAGTTCTGGGTTCATTCAAGTAAATTCTGGCAAATTGAATGGCAGGTTTCTTAAACTGTGTGCATAGTTCAAGAAAACCACCAAGACCACTGAGCTTTATCCTTTGGAGATCCTTCTCTTTTTAAACAAATAGCATTTCGCAATTTCACCTGGAGATTTTATACGAGAGTCTTAGTAATGTTAAAAGTACATGAAAGGAAACATAACAGTGAATGAGAGAATTTCTCGGTTGCCTTGGAGAAATAAGAGCTAAACAATGTTAGACCCCTCATGATAGGAGAGTCGCTAACCACTTGTATATGGACAAACTACTTCAAGGCCTTCTGTAGCAGACAAAAATGATATGGACTCAAAAGAGGTAGAAAAGCCCATGAGGGAAAATGGATGAGGTTCTTTCATGCTTCCAAGAGAAGATCAAAGTGCAATGAAATGGGACTTGGCAGAACTGGTATACAACTGAACCTTATGTGTTTCAAAGGACTCCTGTGATGCGAGGTCTTGCTACTTACCTCTCCATTTAAGAAGCAATATAAGAGGGCAACAACAAAGCCCTAGGAAAACAAAATAACAAGTCAATAACGTCATATCGAACATGGTGACTTTCAGCACCTCTGGCTTTGGAGCACAGAACAACATCAGTTTTTAGTTAATAATTTAATTATTAATTCATTAGGACTGACTGGCAGCAAAATACATTTTTCCCATCATTATGTTAGTGGTGTCACACTGTATAAGTAGCTTTCATATTTAGATTAAATATTGATAACTCACGTTGTGCTTTTCACCAATGCCCCCTTGGGCTTAGAATCAGGACTGCCCAACTCTAGACACATCTACATGTGCTACCGGTAATGAGCATTAAATCTAGTACTTCCACTGTGAGATACTACAAAAATGTACCTTAGCCTATTTTAATCACATTAGCTAAAGAGCCCAGTTTGGGGGCATTTTTACACATGCAAGCACTTATACTGCGATGCTTTCAGTTGTATAAACGGTGAAATGCACGTCAGCACTCTGAAAATGGTGGTGGCATGCTTTTGAATTAAAACACAGAAGGTGCTTTAGTTCAAAAGTGGACCGCTGGCATTTTCTGTATGCTGACATGCATTTTGCCACTTACACAACTCAAGTCTGCTCCGAAGCAGTGGATCTCCAGTGCACTGCAGGACCAAAAAGTATGTATATAAATGCCTTTTGTGATGCTTTAATGTGCATTAAAATAGGCTAATGCACATTAACATGTACGTGTAAATATGCTCTGCATGTCCTAAACTGCTAAAAGTTGACTGGCATTCCCTCTTAGTTCAAGTTGTGGGGATCTGAGGTTTTTAGAGCAGGAGGATTTCAGCTCTACCCCGGCATTGAAATGCCTGTGTTCCCAAGGACGTATCATGGTGGACAAATGAAATATTAGGCAACCATGGATTTAGGTAGCAGTAACTACAGCAGATAGCAGTAATTATATATAGTAGATAGCAGTAATTACATGTGTAAATTCACACATTAGGATTCTGAGAGCGTTATATTTATAGATAATATGGTAAAGACCATGCTATTGGTGATGTCACCAGAATACTGGCATAAAATCAAAGCTAGCCAACAAACAGGACATCATCCTGATTCTGGTCCCTACCGCAGGCAACTCGTCCCCGGTGCCAGTCCTGGAAGGCCTGCAGCGAAGCCAGTTTGACTGTCCATAGGAGAAGTACCAGATGTCTATCCTATGCTTCCCCTTTGCACAGTACAAGTTTTGGTAAGTGCTCCTGTACAATATCTTCCTCTTTGCATGGTATAAGTCTTGGTAAGTGCCCTCATACAGCATCTCTGTAGGATTTGGGCCAGCTGAGGTTGGAAAAGTATGAAGTATAGCTAAGTGACTTAGGTGGCAAATTTCCATAACCTTATGACCCATGCCAGGAATTTTGATTGCCTGAAAGCTGTGCAAGTATATAAAACATCATCATCAACCTAATCACTTGACAGAAATCCAGCTACAATCCAACAACCTGCAAAGGCTTTGTCAGCCCATCTCTATTTTGATCCTTCTTAATGGAAAAAACCCCCCAAAATAAAACAACAACAGATAACCAATTCAGAACATGCATCTGATAAAAGGTGTTCCCAGCAACATACTCAC